ATATAGTGATTGCAGGGTCCGGGGAGACCAGATATAGTGATTGCAGGGTCTGGGGAGACCAGATATAGTGAATGCAGGGTCCGGGGAGACCAGATATAGTGAATGCAGGGTCCGGGGAGACCAGATATAGTGAATGCAGGGTCCGGAGACCAGATATAGTGAATGCGGGGTCCGGGGAGACCAGATATAGTGAATGCGGGGTCGGGGAGACCAGATATAGTGAATGCAGGGTCCGGGGAGACCAGATATAGTGAATGCAGGGAATGACCAGATATAGTGAATGCAGGGTCCGGGGAGACCAGATATAGTGAATGCAGGGTCCGGGGAGACCAGATATAGTGAATGCAGGGTCCGGGGAAACCAGATATAGTGAATGAGGGGTCCAGGGAAACCAGATATAGTGAATGCAGGGTCCAGGGACACCATATATAGTGAATGCAGGGTCTGGGGGAGACCAGATATAGTGAATGCAGGGTCCGGGGAGACCAGATATAGTAAATGCAGCGTCTGGGGAGACCAGATATAGTGAATGCAGGGTCCGGGGAGACCAGATACAGTGAATGCAGGGTCCGGTGAGACCAGATATAGTGAATGCAGGGTCCGGGGAGACCAGATATAGTGAATGCAGGGTCCTGGGAGACCAGATATAGTGAATGCAGGGTCCTGGGAGACCAGATATAGTGAATGCAGGGTCCTGGGTTAAGTAACACTTTAAAGATCGCATTTTTATTGCATGTATTTTCAGATACTGGTCCGCCCATTAAGAGTGCATAGAACCTCCTTTTTGGTAAATTCTAAGGCGTTTTTATACCCTGTGCGTTTTATGTGCATTTTATATTTGGTGCATTAATGAAGAACCTACTTGCTGCATCTTTGTTGCACCTCCGATGCACCTAAAACGCATGTAAAACGCACCTAAAATGAAATTGCACCTAAAACACACATGTGAACCAGCCATTATAAATATTTTAAATATGTACAATGTAGCTTGTGCATGTGTATCCTCATGCAATGCTGGTGTATAGCATAATTCTACAAGGATACGACTAGCTTGTCTGTGGGCGACTAGTACTCCAGAATACACACATAGGCTTTAGTAAATCAGATCTGATGCCACATCAATGTCATGAAAGTCAGATTTCTGACCAATAGGTGGCAGTAGTGCGTTTCCTGGACTGCCTCTGATGATGTATTCCTCCCCGCCAGTATCCTCAATAATAATGGCAATGTGTTGCCCAGTATATTAAATACAGATTATCTAGTAAATACGCTGTTAACAAGCTGCATTGATGCTCTCCTCCATACAGCACTGCTGTGTGCAGTAATAACCGCCCAGATAAATATTACATTAGCTGCAATGTACATTCTTGAATTTATGATACTAATTACTTTCATCATGTTAACTAGAGTTCGATATAGGATAAAGGGCGTAAAGTGTATCGAAAACCAAGAAGAAAATTTATTGCACCTTACTAGTCCTTCAATGTGGTTGTATTAGTTTTCTTTTTTCAGTTTTTTTTTTTTCCTTTATTATCACCTGGTGATCCATTCCGTAGCCTGCCTAGCGGTCTGATCATATCCATATTTCTGTGCTCAAAGCAGTACATTTTTTTGCATGGAAATATGTATTTTTTTTTATTGTAGGCCTGTAATTTTTAGGAATAACTCACTGAAATCTGTCCGAACAATAGTCTAGTAAACAGCCCGGGTATGGTAAAATTTGAAACACGAAATCATAAATTATAATTTAATAAATAATCATAAAAAATAATAATAATATAATAATAAATAATAAATATAATCAAACCAAAAACACTGCAATTTGAAATATAGCGCCAAGTTCATACATCACTGAGCAAAGTCTCCAAATCGTTTTCAGTGTCTGATGGCGAATTTCCCCACGAATCATTATCACTCAATTCTGCAAGTGGTTCTGATTTACTATCGCTGTTCTCTAGCTGGTCTAAAACCGCTTTTGACCTAAAGGGACGCTTTTTGGACGCCATGGACGTTTCTCAGTTTCCAGGCAGAAAGAACAGTAAAAATGCAGGCAGGGCTCAGGACAAAGCACTCGGGACAAAATGTATGTGAAATGGTTTGATACAGGAATGTAATACTATGTGATTTTAGTGTATTTAATGAATGTCACTTTTACAACTTTCAAATTTCCCGCCAGCTCTGTCCCCCGTACATCCTGACGTCGCAGGGAACGGAACCCAAAAGATAGATGTCGGTATCGGCCGGAGCACATCACGGGAGTGCAGAACAAGGTAAGTGAAGAACAGATCCCGGAGCAGCGCTGCAAGGTATTCCCGAGTGCAGCTCAGGGTTACGGCTTCTGGTGCTAAAACTTTACCCCGAGCTACACTCGGGAATACCGCCAGGGAGGTTAATATACTTCCTAGGGTGCCAACATTAGGAAAAAATAGAAATGTTCCCCTGGGACTTTGTATAGCAAAAACCACAATGAGTATATAAAAAGTATATAAAACAGTAATGTTTATCACAAAGATTAACATAATAAAACGAATCAGAAGATTAGATATAGTAAATTGTAATACAATGATTATCACCTACAAATCATACACAGTGTGCATAAAGCCTGACAGTTTGTAATACATCACCTGGCAGAAGGGCAAACAGCCCAAAAGAACTTGTGCAGTGATGTTGTTCAGACAAATCCAACGCGTTTCAGAACTCTTTCAGAACTCTTATTTCTTATTTCCTTCTTCAGGGACTAAATGTGTCAAGTCTAAAACATAACAACGTATCAAAGACATGTAAACAATAAAGTGCAAAATATCATTTTGAAAAATATGTAAAAAGAAGCTGATTACTCAAACACTTACAAATTGCACCACATCAGATGATAAAAAAAAAAAAAGAAATGAATAGAATGCATTAAGGTAAAAAAAAAAACCTTTTGCCTTAAGAACCACTTTAAATACGCATTCAGACCAGCAGCATTGTCCCAACCACATACTTTCCCAAATCCACATTCACTGCATTCTAAGAAAGAACTAATGCTCCAGGAAGACACGATAATCATTTTGACAAATTTTGTAAAAAAAAAAAATCATAAAGTGCGTGATTTATATTATGTTTGTATCTGGGAAAATAAATTGCGTCTGAACACATGGAAATCCAGCTCAGCGCATCTGGTAGGGCTATTCTTCAAGATGTGTTTTACATTCGTGGCTTGAAATATGTTGTCTTTGTCATATGACTTTAAAGGAAATCTGAAGCATTCAATCACAATCTCTCAAACTATAAAAGCAAGAAGGAAGGAGAGGAGAAACTTCCCCCAGAACAGCTGCAAGTTTGCTCAGAATGGTAATTCTTGTCTTGGCCGTGACTAACATGTTAAAGAGAACGCACACCAAAAAAAAACATTACCCCGGACAGCGTAAAAATCATATGTGAACTTATTTAATAATGCATTTTCCAGCGGGCTGAGACACCAGGGAGGGATTGCTGCCGAATAAAATAATATTTAAAGCTATGCTACAGGTAATTAGCTAAATACACCATGGAAATACAACTCTGGGAGCTGTTTTACTGCCAAAGGTTGTATAATCTGTCTGGCCAGTCCTAAGAAATATACAGCTCTGCCAGACAGCACTTTCAGAGAGGTGACCTGGCTTTTCTCTGCAGTTTAGCAATACAGCTAGGTCACTCCCACACCCCCTGCTGTGAGTAAATGAGCAACAGAAGGCTGATATGGTCATCTCTCTGCTCTCCCTTCTTAGCAACATGTTGCTTGCCATTATAGGGCAGCACAGTGGCTAAATGATTAGCACTTCCACCTGGCAGTATTAGGGTCATTGGTTTGAATCCCAACCACAGCACCACCTGCCTGGAGTTTGCATGTTCTCCCTGTGCCTGTTTGGGTTTCCTCTGGGTACTCCGGTTTCTTCAAACACTCTAAAGACATGCTGGTAGGTGAATTAGCTCCTGTCTAAATTGGCTCTAGCATGTGTATGTAAGTTAAGGACCTTAGATTGTACAGCCCTTGAGTGTTAGGGACTGATGTGAATGTACAATATATATGTAAAGCTCTGTGTAAATTGATGGCGCTATATAAGTACCTGAAATAAATAAATAAATAATATGTGCATGCAGCACAGTTGATTGGTTCCTAGTGCTTCCCTTCTCTCTGACAGTATTACAAAGACAAATTCAGGTCCTTATACTAGAGACATTTAAAGCCCAACTGCAAGAATTAGACACAATCTAAAATGCTTGTTAAGTCTAGGGGGAGAGGAAATGGATAAAACACCTACCGTACCCCCATTTCAGCCTCTCCGGCGCTTTCCTCCTCTCCCTTTAGCACTTTGGGGTGTGGGCAGTCCCTTGGTGTCATTAAGTACAATGCAGGACTTTATGTGTATGGGTAGCACAGTGGCTAAATGGCAGGGGCGAACGGACCATTTGGAAACTCGGGTGCTGCCCGAGGGCCCGGGGTCAGTAGGGGGCTCCATGAGATGCCCCTGGTACCTTTTTCATAGGCTTTTTTGAGTTTGGGCAAGGACACAGAGGCCCCATGAACCCCAATTGCCTGGGGGCCCCATGAGATGTCAGTCCGCCCCTGCTAAATGGTTAACACTTCCACCTGGCAGCACTAGGGTCATTGGTTCAAATCCCAACCAAAGCACCACCTGTCTGGAGTCTGCATGTTCTCCCTGTGCCTGTGTGGGTTTCTTCCAGGTACTCCACTTTCCTCCCACACTCCAAAGACATGCTGGTAGGTTAATTTGATTCTGGCTAAATTGGCCCCAGTATGTGTATGAATGTAAGTTAGAGACCTTTGTGTAGATTCATGGCACTATATATGTACCTAAAATAAATAAATGTGGAGGAGGCAAGAGTGCAACCATGGCTGAGAGCACCTTAGAGAGCAGGCTTCACAAGGGGAACCTGCTACAGCAAGGAATGAGGCAAATATTACTCCTTATATTTGCACCTCAGAATGAACAAGCAATTAATCCTTGTTGCACTGTGTATGTGTTTGAGGGGGGGGGGGGTGTATTACTGTAATATGAGAGTTAGTCTAATTCCTGCAGTTGAAGGTTAAAAATTATTTTTTGTTTTTAATTGAACACATATGTGCATCAACTGGTAGTTTTTTTTTTTTTTAGATATCTGCCTGATTTGCCATGAATCTGCCCTCTGGGTCTAAGTTGGGCTTTGTGGTTGGTTGGTTTGGGCACCAAAGCACAATTCCCTACCCATGCTCTAGCCCTGCTAGGACACTGTCCCACCTGCTGAGGCTGAACCCTCTGCCAACTTGCCTTGGGCCTCCACACGACATTCCTGGCCATAGACCTTTGTGTCCCCAAAGAAGGAATGTCCACGCAAGAAGTACTGTAGTTTTTGTTTGAACATTCAGGAAATGGCCCTTGAGTCACATTAGACAATCAATCACATTTAGTGGACAGTCCGCAGTAGTTACAAATTAAAGCATGTGAAGCACTTTAGCAGCCATCTCCTTTACAGTTTCTCCTCTGCCCAGGGTCATTAGTACTCACAGGCCTGCGCTCTCTGTACTCACCTCCTTGTTAGGTACATATCCCCCGGGAATCCTCTAGGGAAGCAACCTCATACATGGATCTCCAGCCTGGCCTAAAAGGCCTTTTGCAATCCACCCTAGCCCCCACCTCCATAAGA